AAACTTAAATTACATAAGTAAATACTTAAAATTTTAAAAAGTTCAAAATTAAAAATTAATAACTATTGGAATACAATCAAGTATTAAACATCAAATGAGTGAAGCTTCAAATTGCATGGCAAGTGGCAACACAATTTGGTATTTATAAGAAGGAATTTTCTTTGTCAGATTGAAGTTTTTGGTTGTAGTTTTGCAGATATCCATAGGAATTCATGTGTTTGTAGCGAATGTGATTCAAAATTCAAATCCATGAGAGTAACAACTTGCATTAAAGAGATGCTGACCACACGAATTCAGACAACCTCATATGTTGTGTCAAATCACATGGATAGGTGTTAATGTGTTATTCCCTCTCCATTCTACTCATCACGCGCTGCCTCACATAATCAATTACACACCGTATATGCCCCATATTGGGTCACTTCTCTCGTTTTTAACTATTATATAATTTTACATTACCATAAATTAAGTTTTTGACAATTTTAAATATATCATATTATGAATTTATTTCATATACCATGATACAAGAAATTAATGTAACTCGGGAAATTATATTTTATCATTGATTTAAAAGTTTAGTAGTGTGTATTTGAGAGATAATGACAAGATTTATAGTTCTTTTCATTCTAATTACTTTCATTAGGATTTCTGACTAAGGAATGAGAGCTTGTTTATTTCATTATTAAACATTTAAACAGTAAGAAAATTTTAATTCCCTTCTTTTATGTAAAGCTACAATTAGAATAAGTTTTATTTATTTACTTTATTCAACAAAATTGTGGTCATTGATGTGGAGCTAATTGGGCTAATCATCCATTTCAATTAACCCAAAATCATTTTTTTCCCTTTCAGATTGACTCTGAATTTGACCAAACAGCAGAAATTGATTCATCATGAAAGAAGTTTGGAAGTTGTATCTTCCCTTTTCTCCCTCTCTTCAAATCCAACTCAATTGTTGGGAATGTTTATTTTAATGAATTTGCTGGGAAACGTTTTCAAATGTGCAATTGCAATTTTGTCTAAACATATGTGATTTTAATAAAAGAATAATAAACCATTCTTTTTTTAAGACAAGATTAGGTTTCTTCATTAAGTTGATCCATAACTTTATTCTAATTATTAGTGTAATGATAGCTTAGAATAAAGCTAGCTAGGATTATGGTTGCATTGTCATAAATGGAATGGTAGCTCGTCCTTTTAAAGATTGGGTGATTATATAATTTACTTTTAAAGTTAACTGTTTTGTGGTTCTTAGCCAAATTTTTTTAAAAAGATGTGGATGGAATTCCTAACAAATAACAAGTAGGATTTCATAGTCAAAGAAATACTCATATTTCTTGAGAAAACTTTTTCTATACCAAAAGCCACCACTTATTCCTCTCATCAGATAGAGGTTGAGGATTGCCTCATCACCCAACATAATCTTTGCTCTTTCAATTCATCTACCTCATATTTTTCTTTATATTCATATTGGACCAGAAAAGGGAAATATTAGAGAAAATATAAGAGCACTATAATTGTATAATCAGTTTCTTTTAATTATATTTTGAATGTCCTTATTCGGTTTTGGGCATATTTAGTTAACTAATCAAAGTATTATTTGACATTAGAGTACAAAGTGCAATCATTTATCGTAATAACATCAAATATTCATAATTTGGTATATATTATAGAAATTTTAACCTAAATTTACTGTTCTAAAAATAGTATACGAAACTTAGAGAAGTTAGTGATCTTATTTTTATGCACTGAGATTTTAATTGTGTTTTTTTTTTACAAGTTTAGAGGATTGATAAATCACGCTGACTCAAAAACCACTGTGATTGTTCCTAATTTCTTGGTTATTTAAGCATCTTTTAAAATAAAATCTAACATCTAACATCGTTTTTTTTTTAACAACAAATTATGACTGTTTTCTGATAATGTTATTTCCTGCATAAAATCTAGGTCCTTTGTATCTGCAAGAAAATTGTACTAGCTTTATCCAAAAAATTGTCAAATTAAACTTATATTGAAGTTTATTAATTTTGATGCTTGAATTGACATAAGTAGTTGAGATTGATGTAGTATTTGACATCTGCAACCCCATCTGTGCCATCTGTACAAGTCAAAATCAGATGTTGCTCCAATGCAAGGCTATTCCGCGATTATTGTGATTTTGATAAATGAGCATAAGATATATCACAAATTTAAATTTTATAAATATTTATTGTGTATACAAGAATAGTTAATTATATATATTAATGTTGGGTCATGATATACACCAACTGCTTATTATTGATAAATGTGTTATCAGTTAAAGTTTGAACTGCAACATTAAAAAGACTATCTAATATTAAATATCCAAAAGAAGTGGAACTATATCATATACAATTAAAAATAGAAGAAGGAAGAAACTTGTTCCAAGAGCATTGTCCTTGTCAACATGAAAATCAATCAGAACCATTCCCAGGAAGTCCTATATTATATATGAGAGTAAGGAACAAAGTATAAATATAGACAATGACTGTGTATTTGGTATTATAATTTGTCAAAAATCCTTAGTACTAAGGACAACATTGTATTAACATGTGGACAGATCAAAGTCGTGAAATGCAATAAAAAAACATTAAAGTAGTATTCCAAGTTTAGGATATTATACTATTAACTCAGATTTCAAGTACTTCCATATCTGGAACAGAGGAATCTAATTCATGATCCCATGTGGGCCAAATCAAGATTTTATTTTTAATTATATCTTCACTTTGGACATTCGATAACAGTTAGATGTTGCAAGCAGCTTAAACAGGATTCTGAAAAGGAAAACACTGAACATGATGAAAATAAGTGTATGCTAAGGTAATGTTTTAATTTAAAGAAATGATAATTTACTTTTTAAAATTTGACAAAAATGACAACTATTTTTTATAATTAAGTTAAATGAATAATACTAATTTTAATTTGTTATGAAATGATTAGGTATTATTCTTGTATATATTGCCACGAGTACCTTCTCAAGCAATGTCGCAATTATTGACCGCTGAACAACGAGGACAATTAACGGTCAATAATTTAAATAGAAGATTGTCATCTTAATTGCACGTTTTGTGGGGTTAAAATACTTAATCTATTTTCTTTCTTTTTTTTTAAATTGGAAAACCCTCGATGAAGGTTGAGTTTAAAAAATTAATAGTAATAATTTTTTACTAAAAAATATTTGTTATAATTTTAAAATAATAAATATGATTTTTATAAAACTATATTATATTTAAATATTTAATTTTAAAATTTAGAATGTTATTTGAAAATTGCAAGAAAGAAGAACACTAGAAATTAGTGTTGACTAACATGAAAGTATGAAATGCCATGTCTGTTTCTCAGATTGCTTTTGCCTTTTGTGATGTTAATTCTTTTAGTCTACAGTTTTTTTTTTTAATATCAGTTTAGCATAAAAGTACTTTTTTTTTCTATTCTAATTTCCTTTGTAATTTAACTTAATAATAACTGTTCACCTAACAAACATTCTATGAAGTGATTGCCTCTCCTCGTGTGTATGCTTTTTTAACTTAAAAATTTTATAAACATGTATTTAAATTAACCACACATTTCAACAAAATAATATAATTTTTTAACATGTATTTAACTAGAGTAACATAGGCTAATTTATTCACATGTTTGATGATAAATTAAAATAAAAAATTGTTGCTTTTTATATATATTTTTGGAGAGAAAATAATATATTGGGAAATTAAAATCTTAGAATTAAGATGACTTAAAAAAGTTGCATAAAATGAAAAATGATAAGATAGAGGGGTGAATAGGGAAGAGATTCTTGGTTGTGTGATGGAGGTGAAGAAAGAGAAGAAAAGTTTTGAAAGATATTTTGTTGAGTGGTGAGATGGGCCATTGACAATATGGGGAGAGCAGTGAACAGTGAATGAGGAGAGAGAGAGAGAGGAGAGAGAGAGAGAGAGAGAGAGAGAGAGAGAGAGGAGAGAGAGAGGAGTCACATGCAAACAAAGTCAGCCATATTTCTGAGACTGAGTCAGTGATAGAGTGGCAAACCCGTTCTAACTCAGTCAGCTCTGTCACAACTTGTTTGTCACCACCTTCCTCTCTTTTACACGCGCTTCTTCCCTTCCAATTTTCCATCACTTCTTTTTTAATTATTATAATAGTTATAAGGAAATACAATTTAATTAATAAGCTTTAATTTAATTATTATTGATTGACTTTAATTACTAAGCACTTCATTATTAGTTTTGAACTTGCCTAGATATTTTTCATCTGCCCCCTGAATTTTGTTTTGGAATATTCGTCTACAGCGCGTGGACAGCCTCGCTTCATAGCCCTCGTGGTCCATCATATTTAACTCATTTCCATTGATTCTTTTAATTTTATTTTATTTTTTGGTTTTCTTATTATCATGTTAAATTTAAATATTTATTTAAAAATAAGAAATTATTAGTAAAATGTTATTATTAATAATAACTTAAATTCAATAAAGGTTTAAAAGATTAATTTATTTTACACCTGATTGTTTTCTACAAGTGGGTTTGACCTTTGAGTAAAGAAGGTAATTAGGCATAAACTTTTAAAAATATGAATTGCAATATTCAAAGTTGGCAACATGGGCAAAGTTTACTCACTGAACATTACTCTTATATGATTTTGACAGGTTACAGTTCAAATATGATTGAATTCATGAATTCTCTAAAACTTAAATAATGATTAAAAATAAAATAAGAAAATGATATAATAATAATAATATTATTAATTATTGAGTGTTATCCAATCCAAATCGAAAGTGAAAAGTGCTTTTCTGTTGAAGTTTTGTTTGTTTGTGAAATGCAGGGAGTACAGCATATAGCTAGCTCTATAGCATAATTGATCATCAGTCATGATTCATCACCCCAACTAGGAGAGAGAAATCTGAGACCCTCAGCCCTAGAAAAATATGCAATCCGATAAGGACTTGTGCAGCTGACACAAACCAAGAGAGAGAAAGAGAGACAGCACTATTCAATACTCATGTTTTGTTTTTCCTTTTTTCTCATCCTGAGTTAATGTTGTTGTTGTTCTCATTCAGTTTTTCTTTCCACTCACTCACTTCTCACTTTCACACACTCCTCTATCTCTTTCTCTCTCCTCTGTCACCCACCTCTCTTTAATTCCCCATGAAACCGTTGAACGTTTTTCAACTCTTACTGGCTTCTTCATAAGCCTCTTCCACCACCATCACCACATCTCTTTTTGATTCTCTCTCCTCTCATGTTAGTACTTTTTCTCCTTTTCTTCTGTCTCTTCATTTCTCTCAATGTCTGAAGTGAAATTCAACATGCATTCGTAGCATTCTCAGTTACTTGTATTTTGGGGGTGAAATATGTTCTAGTCTTCACCTAATTCATCAAGGTTGTAGCTTTCCATGTGGGTTTCGTAAGTTGTTTTGTTGTTGTCTGGCATTTGAAACTGGGTTTGAAATGTTTTATAATTTTGACTTGAAGTAATTGCTTCTTCTTAATGAATAGTAATTAAAAGGAAAAAAAAAAAAACTCTTTTTGGGTTTTTGATTTTCTGGGTTGTTGGCATCAAAGGTTGAGCTTTATATAGAGGGTTATGGATATGGTTATGGTGATGGGGTTACCATGGAAATTGCTTGGTGTTGAAGGTTTGGTTATGGGTTGGTGAGAGAGGGCCTTTTACAATTCACCAGGTCTTTATCTTTAATGTGAAGCCTTTTTGTTGTTTGTATATAGTTTGGTAAGCTGTAAACTAGCTTCCCTTTTTGTCTTCACTTTAATTGGTCTAGTAGAATGTTTCCCTTGTTTGTGTGAATTGCTTTCTAGCTATAGGCTTTCCATTCTTTTCATTGATCTATCTTTCTACTTTTTGGTTGTCTTTTGCATGTGTTGTTGCCTTTAATTGAGTCTTGCGTCTCTTTCTTTTCCTTCATATGTATATTTCAATTGGGTGTCATGGTTGTGAAACTTCGTCTATGGGAAGCTTCCAATTCTGATTTGAAGAACATATTTTTTGTTGTTGTTAATGTAATTTAAGCACTTATTGACACCCTTGCCAGTAACTGTAGATTGGATTTCAAGGTTTTCTTCTGATTTGTGCATTTTTCTTTTGCCACAAAATTTGTTATCATTGGCTGCATATGAGGACAGTTCTAGGTGGTATCAATATTGGGGGGTTCAAAGATTGTGAAACAACTTGAAGTAAATGCATGGATCGAGGAGATCAAATGGCATTATCTGGTTCTGCATCTTACTATATGCAGAGAGGAATACCTGGTGCTGGAACACAACCTGAATTGCATAATTCACCTAGTATGCGTCCACTGTCTAATCCCAATCTACCATTTCCAACAAACATTGGGGGTGGTAGTACAATTGGATCCACATTACCATTAGAATCTTCAGGAATTTCTTCTCCATGTGTCAATGTGAGTGCTCCTTCCGGTGCTGTGCCCGGCGAAACTGTCAAAAGGAAGAGAGGGAGGCCTAGAAAATATGGCCCTGATGGAACCGTGTCATTGGCATTGACTCCGACGCCGGCTAGCCATCCCGGAGCCTTGACACAAGGCCAGAAACGCGGTAGAGGTCGCCCGCCGGGGTCTGGGAAGAAGCAGCAATTGGCTTCTCTTGGTAAATCTCTATCTCAGCTCTTTATTTTGTTTTGTGGTTACAAAGTGAAGTGACTATAATTTGAAGTTGAGATTGCGATGTTGCTGGTTTTGTAAATCCAAGTGTCGTTTTGTTCATTCTAATTTGGTATAAACTATTGATTTCTTTCTTTGCATACAAAATTTTTGCTGATTGCATGATAGATGGTTTGTGTGTAAAGTGCTTCAGCTCTCAAAAGTTTTGGTTTATTGAGATTACTCTAAGAAAATTATTTATGAATTTTGTTATGAAGTGTTGAAACAACTGATTGTTTCAGCTGTTACATCACTTTTTTTTGTTAGGATTAAGGTAACTTTTACAATTAAAGTATTACAGCAAATGTATTGAAACGCCCTGGTTTTTCCTAGTCTTAAAATTATATTTTTTCTATTTTTGAGATAAGGTATGTTTGTTATTTTCTTCATGCTAGCATTCTAATATCAAAATGAACTGAATTAATGAGTCCATGAATTTTATATTCCAATATGAATTGGTATAATTTCTTTGCATTCAATTTTGCTGATTACAAGATAGATGATATGTCTGCTGAAGGGTTAATCTCTCCAAAGTTGTGGTTTATTGAGATTATTATATTGGTACTAATTATTTGTGGGTTTTGCTGTGAGACTAGTGTTGAAACGCTTGATTGTTTTGACTGTATCTCTTTTTCTATTTTTTATTGAAGATTAACATAACTTTTGTAATTAAAATATTTCGGCCAAAGTGTTGAAACGCTCTAGCATTTCGTGGTATTTAAAATTACAGAGTTCCTCTTTTTTAGATATGGTTTGTTTGTTTATTCTTTCCATGTTTGCATTCTGACATCAAAATGAATTGAATTAACAAGGACTTTTATGTTCCAATAAACTTTGGTATAAAATATTAGTTTCTTTGCACCCAAATTTTGCTGATTTCTATATAAATTAATTTCTACAAATAAATAAATTAATCGTGCATGTCAGCACTCAGCTGCTTTAACAATTGAGCGCTAAGCAACGTGACTTTTTTTTAAATTTTTTATAATTTTGATGAACACATATCTGCTTATAATTTGTGTGTGTGTTAATGCATTATTTTATTTTATTTTATTTTTGTTTTTTGATATATCCACTAAGTTGTGTGTGTGTGTGTGATAGAGAGAGAGCATGGATGGAGTGAAAGGGTTTTTTCGTCAAAATGTAATTATATTTTGCTATAATCAACTAAGGGTAGGGATTACTTAGTCTAGGTTGACCTTTGAACTCACTCTATCCTAACTTTAAAAACTGGAATGGGTTGGGTGTTTGGGTTAAATTAGGTAGAAGCTCCCTAACCTGATTGGTTTGCATCAGGTCTTGAATTGATAAATTTTAAACTCATTGAGCTTGAAATTCCCTATTTTTAAATTTTATTTTTTCATGGATATTCAAAAGAATTTAAATATTTATGTGACTTTGATGACCCAACATGATTGGGTTGGTTTGATTTAGGTTGAGGATGAAATTTTGCAAAAAATGATCCAACCTTATTTAATTGTTTGTGATCGAATTTTTTTCCCAAACTTGATTCATACTACGCTTAAAATCAATGGTATTTGATTGGGTTGGTTTGATTTAGGTTGAGAATAAAATTTTGCAAAATGTTACCAAACCTTACTTAATTGGCTGTGATTGAAAATTTTCCCAATCTTGATTTTGGCTGCCCCTATGATCAATGATTTTTAATGACTTTCTTAATTCTTGTCCAAAATTTGGAATGGTACATATTTTACATAGAAGTATAAACTTTCTCGAAAAATAGGAATCAACTATTACCTTCATCATTAATTACTAATCTTGATGCTAATTATAATAGTTTTGTTAATATTAGTCTTTAAAGTTGGTTTTAAGTATAAAAAGTTCATAAACTTTTGTTGAGAAAGAAAGTATATATTATATTTTCAATGTATTAAATTATTTTTTAAAATAAAATCTTATAATTTTAGAAGTTTAAAATAAATTAAGATTAATGTTAATATTTTCTTAATAATAATAATGATGATAATTATAATGGACAATGATAGTATGGATATTAGGAAAAGCTGTATTGGCTAATTATTAGTTTACGAATTTGGTTTCTCTCATGTCATTAAGTCATATGATATTTTCATGTTAGGAAGAGAAAAGATATGATTTTTATCAATCGAGGACTTACCATAGTTGGTTATAGGACCTACCAATTGAATTTGATAGAAATAGTATCCTTCTTTCTCTTGCGTGACTATATTATGTTATTCAATAATATTACTGGATCCATATTCATCAAACTATATCCAATGTGTGTAGTGGTAGAAAAAAAAATATAGTAAGTTGGGTGTATGATATTATTATGCAGCCAATACTGAATTCTGCACCACAATATGTAATAAGTTGAGCATGGGAAGCAACATTGGTAGAAAATAAAGTTGCAGACTTGTAATTGGTAAAAACTGGGAGGGGGCAAGTATGCATATTAGAAAGCATTTTCATGGTATCAGCTAGATAACATTTGTAAAGTAGTGTGACTCTTGGCATGAGTGAAAAGATCTTTGATTTATCTTTGTCCTTGCAAAATGCTATAGGTACCTATGCTTCATATTTCTAATTCTTACATTGATTGTAATTTTTTAAAATGAACATTACAACTTATCTGACCCAAAGTGGGTTTGAATTCTGCTCTTTTATTTGTTTTTTTTACCTTTACATCTGCCTAATATAACAGGGCAAAGAAACTAACAAATTTACTTATCTGCACTTTTTAAATTAGTCAAATGTCTTTAATAAGGACTTACTTGTGCTGTTTGTAATAGCTGTTTGTAATAGGGACTGACTTAATTTGATTTAAGTATATATACTTTTGTGTTTGATGTTTTTGAGTGGTTATTGCCAGGTCAATTGATGTCTGGTTCAGCTGGGATGGGTTTCACTCCTCATATCATCACCATTGCAATTGGAGAAGTATGCCATATACTTTTTGCAGTGTTTCAATCTTCTATTTTCTTAGTATATGTTGAAAGTTTAACTTTAGCGCATCCAGGGTGTGTTTGCCTTGTTTTTTACTTTCATTTTAAGTTTATTTGTTTTCATTAATAATTAAAAATGCTACCTCATTTGTCATTTTGTTTCCTGATTTTATACTTCATTGAAGCAATGTTGAAAAGCCATTCTTTCCCCAATTCCTTCACTTAAATTTTGAAAGGAAACAAACTTTAACCAGGTATCATTTTTGCAATTATTGGTGAAAACATATCAACTAAAATGAAAAGAGATAGCAAATCAAACAACTACTTGGTATTTCTGGTCTCTTATTTTAAATGGTCTTGGGTAACATCAATGGATTTGTTCCCTTTTAATCAAGGAGAACTATTTTATCATAGTAATGGCTGCAATTAATAATTTTCTTAGGGTAGGTACGTTACCTTAAAAGACAAATAATTTGAGATGGAAGGAGTATTAAATTCTAAATAGTTGTCAATATTATATATACTATTTTCCCTTTTAAAGTTAAAAGTTAATGCAGTAAAGCCAAAGCCTATGATTATGACAATATTTATGCCTATGATAGTAAAGAAAATAATAATGTGGGAATGCATGCAATTGTGAACTATGTTTTTTGTCTGTCATTCATTTTTTATGTCGAAGTTCTGCTCTGTTTTCCGTGGAACCATCAAAGCATATGATATGATACTTGCCCTCAAAATAATTTCATGAGACATGTAATTATATGCTCTTGGAAATCTAATGTTTCTTTTACTGATTTAATGTGTCGATGGTCTTAACATCGTGTCATATGTGTAAGTATTTGAAAATACCTTTTTTGAAAGTTGTGCCTTTTTTCTTCTCTGTAGGACATTGCAACGAAACTCGTGGCATTTTCTCAACAGGGGCCTAGAGCTATATGTATTTTGTCAGCCAATGGTGCTGTTTCTACTGTGACACTTCGTCAGCCTTCAACCTCAGGTGGCACTGTCACATATGAGGTTTGTAACTTTCTTAATGGATGTCTATGTTTGGGTACACTTCTAGGTTCATGAATAATTATGATTGTTACAGATACCCACATTTTCTCTTTTGCAACGTGCTCCTAATCAAATTGATACAAGGGCTTAGCTTAAGAGTTCTCTTCATGCAAGGAAGTTAACATTGTTTTCGGAAATAATGGGAGTGTTGTGTATAGCTTCTACAGAGTTACTTAGACTGATGAAAATTGACTCCTTTAAGTTCTTTTTAGCTAATCTCAATAAATTTTACAAAATTTATAACAAACTCGAATGTGATAAGAACTTGTTGAATAAACATTTAATTAAAGTTGTTTATCAAAACACACCCTAAGACTGTTCAGGTTTCTTTAAGCTTGTTTCATGTCTATGGAGCATGTACTGTATAGCCTTTTAAAATGCCAAACACCATTGAGACCATAGTTTACTCGGAAAATATTATAGCTCATAAATGCATTCCTATGTTTGTATCTAGTGTCTACATACGTGTAGCATGTGATAGGCCAAGTTGCTCAAATGCTATTAAACTAGTATTCTACTGAAAAAAAAAAAAAAGTACTTGGCTGTCCTAGTATCAGATTTCAAATTTGAAATGTCTATAGTTGCCGGCTTTAATAGCTCTAGTTCCTGGTCATAACAGATGTTTGCTTTCTTTTATAGTTCCCAGTTTCAGATTTTACTCAACTTTTCTCAAACCAAGCAGCATCTAAAGTGGTTCAGGACCTGTTTATTTTCTTTTGTTTCTTTTTTCTATCTCTTTATCAAGTAGAGGTTATCTATCTTTATTTATCTATCAACAGGGGCGTTTTGAGATATTGTGCCTGTCTGGCTCTTACTTGGTTGCTGATAGTGGTGGTCCCCGTGGTCGAACGGGTGGATTAAGTGTTTCCCTTGCAAGTCCTGATGGCCGTGTCATTGGTGGAGGAGTTGGTGGAGTGCTGATTGCAGCCAGTCCGGTTCAGGTAACTACATTTTATTACTTGCTGCTAGGATATTATGTCATGAAATTCATCATTCTCACATCCAAATCTGCAACATATTAAATCTGGATTTTTTTTTACTGCAGGTGATAGTTGGGAGCTTTATTTGGGGTGGATCAAAGACAAAGATCAAGAAAAAAGAAAGTTCTGAAGCTGCAGAAGTTGCTATAGAGACGGATCATCAGGTGGTTCATAATCCAGTTGCAGTGAATAGCATTTCACCAAATCAGAATCTTACCCCAACCTCTTCTTTAAGTCCTTGGCCTGCATCGCGTCCATTGGACATGCGCAATTCCCATATTGATATTGATTTAATGCGTGGGTGACGATTTATTTAGCTCACAACTAGTACTGAGTATATATTTCAGATTCATGGTCACTCATCTAATTTTCCTGTAGTAGTAATGACAGCATGGGAAGTACCAACAGCAGAGTAGAAGCCAGCTGACTTTTGGAATTTGATAAAATGCCACCTATCCACCTATGATATCATTGACTTTAGGGTACTCATATTTTTGTAGCTGTGAGGAATTTTAATTTGAAGATTTTGTGGTCTTGATTAAGTACACTGTTGTTTATATCCTTTGGAAGAATTTGACAGTGAGCTGTGGTGTAGGGGCATATATTATGATATCATCTCATGTGATTTTTGTTGTTGAACTGTTGTTTCTTGAAATGCAATGACAAGGGTGCATGAAGGTTTACTCATGGGAATACATGATAGGAAGTGTTGTGTATTAGTCGTGGGTGTTATAAAATAAATGGTTCTCATGGTGAATATCTCTGAGAATAAAATTAACTGAACTCAACAGTGACTGGTGATTTATATAGCCCATGTCACCTTACTATGCAGTTTTCCAATGTGCATTCTCTCTTAATGCCTCACACCCTTTTTCCAACCATCCATATGTTTTCTTGATAATCATGCCACTTAAGAATGGTCATTTGGATGACTTGTAGAAGTTTAGGCATCAACTTCCCTTTGAAAGTTTGTTTTTCGGGTCTTCGGACCCTATTTGCCTGATTTGATCCTTGTAGCTATGAGTTAGCTGAACTGTGAGTTGTTATTGGTCTGGTATCTAATGTCCCATGTCACATACAATCAGAAGAGTAGGTTTTTGGTCCCAAGAATAACTTGCTTCCATTGGAAGAAATAGAATGTAATTTTCATAGCATTAAGATTGTATGATGTAACAAAAGTTTTCTGAAATATGCAGTAGAGTAAACGTGTAACAACACAAAGGACGAAACATCAAACATAGCATTATCCTCTTTGACATCATGTGGCATTGAGTAATAATGTCACTTTGGCATGAATATTGATAAAAGATAGACGTTATAATGGTATTTGCGTTGTGATTGATAGAAGGACGGAGTTATATCTGAATATTTGCATATAATATTACCCTTTGTTTTTTGTCCTTACTGAAATTGTTGGACAAATGCAGTCACAATTGCATTGCTGGAAACCTGGAACTTCAAAAACTATTGTAGAATAGTAATTGTGGTTATCGATTATAATTTAAAACCATGTGTGTGAATTTTATTAAACTATTTTTTCTTTTTGATTGATTATTTTTCATTAAATCTTCATGAGTTGGGAAACACTACTTTAGAGTTCTGTTTTTTCACTTTATAAATTTTTGTTGAAAATCAATTATCACTAGTAAAAAGAGAGTAGATTCCCTGGTTCTTTTAAAGGGAAAAACTCCAAAGTGTGAAAGACGGTACTTTTTAAATCGTTACAACTTGATTTCCATTATTTTGTTACTTTTTATTCATTTCTTAAATTATTATTTAACCAATCAAATGAATCTTTGATTCATAATTTTTCGTACTATACAGTTTTTGTACTGCATAGCACAGTAGATTTTTTTTAATACTACAGGTATTAATCACTTAATTTATAATTTTTTTTATTTTCATTTAGTTGTTAAATTTGTGAAAAGTCATTCATTTTTGGCCTTGCCTTTAATGTTAATAAAAGAAATGCAATGAAATTATTAAAGTGACTTAACGAAGACTAAATGACCAACACTTACAATTTTAATAGTCAATGCAAGGATTTAACTGTAAATGGAAGAAGATTGCTATACATTGGGGGAGTATTTTATATATATTTTAAATTAACTGTTGTGATTTTTTAATATTTTAAAAATTAAAAAATATTTATATTTTTAAAATAAATTACTAATCTTCAGTGTCTAATATACACATGTTTAATATAAAAATAACAGTAATAATTATTCTAAGTGTAATTTATAAGGCAACATAGAAATTACCATGGAAGAAGAGTTTTGTTATTGTACTGGCCATCGCTATACAATAATTATTGTCGCTCTATCCGTAGTTGTTTGGGTTTTTAGTGATGTGGTGTTTGTCTGTAGTCTTAATGTTACACACTATGCTTTGCAGTTTTGTTGCTTTCGTAGTCCAAGATGCATGTATCATGCAACGTGTTTTGTGAGTGAAGGAGAATGCTAGAAAGTGACCGTTGCAGCATCTAATAACACCTTTAAGTGTTCATTTCAACACTCGATTTGAGACTAGTAGTTTTACTAGTACCAACCATCAACATCACTGGGGTCACAGCTTACAATTTAAGTTAGTTCCTATGGTTTAATATAAAAACTTTATAAATCTAGGTGAAATTAAAGCAATAAGGAACCACTTTGCATTGCTTAAAAATTGTGTGTTTCATTGGTGGTTATAGTGTTTAGGCTAAAGGGAGAATTAACATAATTGAGGGGGGAAATGGAACCTTTGAGGGGATTGGGGTGTGTGCAGTGCACCCTAAATCAAGATTTTTAATGATTCAAGTGATATCTTTGTTTCTTCACACAAGGAAATGTATGAAAAACAAGGGGAGCACGGTGCTTAGCTTCATCTTGATCGTTTTATGTTTTTGATTTTTTTTCCCTTTGTTGCATTGTCCTTTGAGGAGCTTTCTTTCCTTGGATTCTGCCACTTGGGTTACATTGTTGTGCATAGGGTATTTGTTTAGACGAGTTCAAGTTTCTAAAATTAGACTGTGTATTTTGAGGACGTGTTTGGATTGTGCCAAACTAATTTTGATGTCCCTTTTTAAAGAAAAATCAATTATACTTTTTTTAGCAATTATGTATCAGTAATAACACTTCAAGATCTAATAAACAAAATATTTTGCATACTATGATGTCATATTATATTGATATTATTTATTTTGAAATATATAATATAAAATATATTTTTATTTTAGTTTTATACTTTTTAAATTATGTGATTTAGCTATGTTTAATATTAAGATTGATATACTTTGTTCATAAATTAAGCTAACCTGCTCTAGTCCCAATATTACTGGTTCTCGATCAAATTAGGTTGAGTCTTAAAAGACAACCAGACAACCCTGTGAGAATTTCGAGTCAGAGGTAAAGACAAAGGTAAACTTGACCTTATTAGGAGAAAAAGCGACAGAAAATCATATGCTTTTGAGGAAAAACTCTTGATTATGCTTTTTTATGTTCTCCTAGTTCTGAGTGGTTGATGCATTGATGGGGATTTTAAAGGGTATATGTAGATTATGTAGATACTTTCTCATGAAGTAAAACATTAAAAAATATGTCCTCCATAGTATGATAGGGCAGTGGATGAATTGTTTCATGATGTTCATGGTTTCAGCAAAAATTGATAACTGCATTATACATGTTAGTTCTGTTTTTTTGGGATTAAGGAATGTGTCAATTATGACTCTGCTGCTACATATTCGCCTCATATTAAGCAAAATTATGTATGCTTTTTCTTTTACATACTTGGGTACTTTCTTTGTTCTTTTTGTTTTTGAATCATTGGGGTAAGGTAAGTTTTGTCTCTCTTGACAAACTCTTGATCATACATATGGGTTAGAAATAAAATGTTAGCATATACATAGGATTCTTTCAAGCCAGATTCTACCTGCCGAATCAGTAACTTCAGAATCTCTTTGCTGACAGATGTTTATGATGCAGAGGGGTTGGAAAGATACTAGTCTTTTTGTGTCTTTGTAATCACCAAAATGTTATTTTCTAAGCCTGGATAAGTTAACATTAATTAATTGCAACTTAGATCAAGTCATTTTAAAAAATAAAAATTTATAACAAATTAAGTAGAGTGGCATAGTGGTTATCCCACTTCATTCTCGTCCTTTTGCATATAGGAGAAATGGCCTGCTCTCTATGAGACCAATCTAAAAGACCCACAAATTGATATCAAATGTTTATAACCAAAAAAGTTAGTGGTATAATTCATTTTTATATTATAAATATTAGTCTTTATTAATTAAAATGAGATTTTTTTAAATGTACTATTTTTTTCATCATTAGCTATGTATCATTTTTATTTTGCCAAACATATTAAATTAAAATTTTCCCTTCTAACTTTCAATCTAAATAGATTTTAATTTTTAATCAGTATTTAATTTTTTAATTAAGATTAAAAATAACAAGGTATTTAATTATTTTTCAATCACCAGTAAAATAATTTTTTAATAATCAAATTAATTTTTGAGACTTTCTAAAATTTACAGTTGCAAACACATTTTTGTATATATTATTTATATTTTATTAAAAAATAAAATTTTACATTAATTAATCATTTTCTTTACTTATAGTTTAAATATTTTGCTTCAAAAGTACTCGTGAATGAGATATTTGCTAATGTTCACGTTAATTTACACATATTTTTGACGGATAAAGCTTTTCTTTTTCTTTTCTAAAAAATAATGAAGCTCATACTATTTTTAAAATTTTGTACTTATAAATATTTAATTTATCTAAAATTTTATATATACAATTATAAAGATAATACTATATTATTTAATAGTTGACATAATAAAAATTTGTAGCTATAAAAAGCTATTAAACATAATAAGTACCTAAAATTTATTATTGAAATAAGTAAACCTATTCTTTCTCTTTATTTATTCATTTATCTAATCTATTTCTCTCTCTCTCTCTCTCTCTCTCTCTCTCTCTCTCTCTATGTATATATAAGTTTTCAAAAATTGAAAATAAAGGTATATTTTGTTGAGTTGGTAGAAAGTGAGAGGAAAAAAAATCACGTAAACATTTTGTACTTATTTACTATGTTAAAGTACGAGGCATGAGCTATACAAAAATCTTATTTTCATTTGTAATTGTAAATCGTTTTTTATCCATCTTCTCATTTTCTTCAGTATAATTTTTTGAAACAAATATTAAATTGTTAATATACACATTTTAAGGTTGTAATGAAATAATGATATATTATATTAAGAAATAATTTTAGTTGTATCTCACATTGATATATTATTACTGCACAAGCATTATATTACATTTTTTTGTTAGTATAGACTTTTAAAGTCTTTTTTAATAATTTAATTTTTGTTAGATAAAAATTATACTAATAAAATTTATTTTAATACTTGACAATTTTTTGTTTATTAATAAGTAGAAATTATTTTTGGTAGTGAATAAAGCTTGATAATTCTTTTCAAATCCCTTCTCTAAACCAATAATGTGGTGAATTTTATGTTGCCGTCTTTCATTACAAAATGCCAATTACAGCATTCCAACCGCATTCCGAATCCAAAGTCAGTTCGAATCTGTATTCAATTTGTTGAAGAAACATCTTAAAATATTTAGTACATAACATCAATAGCAGTGTTGTTAGCGTTGAGCACAAAAATCCAATTCTAAGTTACTAATTCTACTCTAAACACAACAATTTTTCTGGTTATTATGGCGATCAAAATCATTAGATCTTGATTCATGGTTTTATTTTTTATATATTTTCTACAAGCATGGTTTTCTTATATTATGGTGAGCAACATATACACAACTATATATATGCATCATATTATAACAAATAGATCCATATCTTGCTGTTCAAAACTAAAAAGAACCAGGTTTGATGTCATGATGATCAGTTGATAATTAACACTATCGATGTTTACTAATACAAGAAAACAGGTTGCATAAACTAATAACCGTAGGCTTGATATTTGATCATATACCATTTTCTAGCTAGTAATTGACTCATGCAATCTTGGAACTTCTTCTCAGCCCACCCACTTATAATTTATATTAAAATATAAGAGAATAATTTGTCCGAAACATGTGTCACAAGTTCAAGGCAATACTTAGGTCATTAGTTCATTAAATATTACCATGAATCTATGCATCTTAATGTCCATTTGTTCGAAAATAGCTTTAATTCCCTAGAGCAAAATCCAAGATTAATATTAGCAGTGGCAAAATCAAGAGGGTAAGATATGCTTAGTGAAATTAAATTTTATTTGATTGGCGACATAATCAGCACCCTTAAAGAATACGTGGTGAGATTTTAACAATGTTCTATGCCAAACCATTGCATATGAAAAAAACAAAACTATAGGGTTATGCCATGTGATATCTCTATAAATACCCCTCTTATCTCTAATTACACATCATCATTGAGAGATAAAAGAAGAAAAGAGTATTGATGAGGATCAAAGTTAGTTCAAATTCTTTTCAAACCATCCTCTTTCTTTTAATTCTTGTGGCAACCCTTTGGATAACCATTGAAGCTGCTACTTGCCGACCTAGTGGAAGGATAAGGGGTAAAAAACCTCCTTCAGGAAAATGCAATAAAGAGAATGAATCTGAATGCTGCAAACAAGGAGAGTTTTACACCACATTCAAGTGTTCTCCACCCGTGTCTCGCCGAACAAAGGCTATCCCAACACTTAACAATTTTGAGAAAGGTGGAGATGGAGGTGGCCCTTCAGAATGTGACAACAAATTTCACTCAGATAAGACTCCTGTTGTAGCATTATCAACTGGATGGTTCAATAATAGAAAGAAGTGTCATCACAATATCACTATCTTTGCAAATGGAAAAAGGGTCAATGCCATGGTTGTTGATGAGTGTGATTCTACAATAGGGTGTGATGCTGAGCATGATTTCCAGCCTCCATGCCCTAACAATGTTGTTGATGCCTCTAAAGCTGTTTGGAAGGCCTTGGATGTGCCAGAAGATAAGGGTGAATTTGACATCCACTGGTCTGATGCATGATACATACACATAGACACATATATAAAGCTTTTGTCTCTTTTTCTTTTCCTTTCTTTTATAGCTTAAATAAGGATGTGATCATACTTCTCAGTTACCTTATGAGAAGACTGTTTGCAAAAGGGAGAATTCAAATTAATCAATTTGTGGTGTAAACTCACCCTGGCTCCCTTTAGAGTCACATGCATGTTTCATGTTTAAATTAATAAATGGGTGTTGGTTGTCCTAGCTACCTCTACATTTTTGTTTCTAGATTCTTTTATTGGGAGAACAAATCTACTTACACCTAATATTGATAATATTTGTAATTAACTGATTTATTTATTTTTGTATCACATCACATTCTTAGCTCATTTTTCTTTCTTCTTTTCTTATCGTTCTCTTAATTTGCAAGAACTGTAATGAAATTATTGTATATGAGTAATATTTCTCTTATTGGAATGTTCTGTTCTTTTTCATTAATTGAAGCACAAAAATGTGTTTGTAATTTTTTCAAAAATTGAAAATAGATATGGACAGTAAGAGAAAAAAGAGAACAAACATAGACCATGACCATGATCTTCTGCAATGTACATTATCATTGGAAAAGATCTTAGCCATTAAAATAAAATAAATCATTTTTTATTTAAAAATAATAAATATTATAATGAGTGGATATGATTAAAATTAGAGGGGGTGATTTTCCATTGCAAAGGATTTCAATCCCAACAAACACTAATTTATTCTTTAAATGTAATATCTCTTCCAATATATGGAGGGAGTGTCACAGCTAGATCACTATTTAATATTTTTCAGTAAATCAGCAACAAAGACATTGGTGGCAAGTCATATGGTCTTGTGTGATTTGGTCCATTTGATTAGCATGGAAACAGGTAATGTTTATTTTCATTTTATTTTAAATATTTTAGGTTTAAAAATTAATTACTTATTATTCTATAAGAATTAATTTTATTTAAAATTTTTAATATAGCTAATTTTTTTAATCTTTCTTCAAGCATAGTTAATCCTTGGTGAGAGTATATATATAGACACACACACACACCCATTTTTAAATTTTTATAGTTATTTAAATCTTTATTTATTTAGACTAATTATTTTATATGTTAAGTTAAATTTCGTTTTGAAAAATTATAAATAAAAAGGTTCAGAAGTATAAGTCATTTGGAATGAATTTTATCAGGCTATAAATATATTAAATATCAAATATGAATTGATAACATATTAATATAAAAGTACAATAACACTATAATGAGAACTAAATTATATAATTTTATATAAAATAGTATATGCAATTTCTTCTCCAGAAATATTAAACACATATTAACTATTTGATTGATGTGGTTATGAAATACCTAGAAAAAGATGAAACATTAAACTGTTGCCCATTTAACTTGTAATTCACAAGAGGCTTTTTTTGTCAAGGAATATCTAAGAGGATGAACTAGGAAATTGTCAATAAAAATTTAATGGGCTTTACCTGTGTTGACAAAAAAACACATTTTGATTGATTGATGCTAAAAGATGCCCAAAATCATGCAAAGTGAAAGAGAAAAGAAGTAGGAAGTAGTCAAAATCAAAGGATGAAAACATTAAAGATTACGTGACAGGTACCTCACAAAGAAATGGCACCATGTAATTACTGCAGCACGAGAGTAATTAATGAGACTGTGCGTTGTTAGATTTATGTTTGAAATCTAATAAATCAAATTTACTTTAATATTAGACTTAAATATATTTTAACTATCTCAAAATTTATTTTAAATTATTATCTATTAAATTTTTTTTTAAAATTTTATACTTAACGTTAATCTCTATTTATTGTGACGTGACTCAAAACTTTAATTTCTTTTTTTTACTATGTATTTTAATTTTAATTTTTTTTAAAATAATATTGATGTAAATTTTTATTTTTTTAAAAATTAAAATATTGATGTAAATATTTTTTTACTATTTTATATAAATTTTGAGAATGATATGTCACGTCATAATTTAATTGATAGAAGTTAATGTAAAGTATAAAAATAAAAATAAAAATAATTAAACATTAAAATAAAAAAATTTAATAAATAATAATTTAAAATAAACTCTATTTAAAGATAGCTAAAATACATTTAAACTTTAATATTATTAGTTATAAATTTTATATTAAATTCACGTTGACAAACTTTTAATCCAAATATCTAGTAAAGGTTATTATTGGACACGAGATTTCTCTTTACTACTATCATCTCATACTCCTCGTGGTAGTTTATTTATTGAAATCAGGCAAGTATGCAACTATAATGTGATTCTATAGTTTCCTCTACTTAATTAGCTTACTCATAGTTCGGTATTTCTTGAAGATTGATTAAAGAAAATATTTAGAAGGAAATCTTCACATAATTACAATTCTCATCTGTAAACATTGTACATTCGATTTTTAAGGTATAACAAGAGCCCAAAGAACATCTTTGTACTCATCTTAGAAAAAGACAATTTTCTGAAGTTACTAGTCATGCAAGAGCACAAGTTAAATGGAAACTATATTGAAGTTTTCCACAGGAAGTATACATCTGCATTTCAGCACTCAACAAACAACAGAATAGCTCCAATGATTTTTCAATCATTGCCAAAAAATTTAATGCCAGATTCACACTGGCAGCAGATAAATTTTCAAGAACACACAACAGTGTCCATTTACAGCATGCTATCTGTAAGGGCAGGCAACCTGCGGAAGAAGTTAACCGGAGCTGCCGGCACCTTACTCCGAAGCATTGGGTGCCTCATTAAGTAAAATCCGGTCAGAAGAATAGGCAGCTGAAAGGGTGTCACATACAACACAATAGCAGCCACAAAGCAGAATGCCATGAACATGGTGGTGGCACGAGGATCACGCCAGTTCACTAGAGCTTGGATCCTCTCTCCTTGAGTAGCTAAATCTCCAACAACACTCTGAATCCTCCCAGCCACGCTTCTTAACCGATCATACCTCCACCGTACAACGTCAGGGCCCTTTGATGTAGGAAATGTGTCAAACTCCTCATCAAGCTCATCTGGGGTAACTCCTTCAGCATAGGAGAGTCTAGTGTTCATGTGAGGGGGGTACCTCGGGCGGAACCTCCAATTCCACATACCAATGACAAACATGTATAGAAACACGGTAGGGAAAATAAGTTCAGGGAAACACACAAGCATCAGAAAAAGAATGTGCACCAGCACTGTTGTGACAGGATGCTTCCATGTGGAAACTTCTCCCAACCATCTTCCAACTGAAAAAATTCCTGAGAACACTGTCATCAGACGGTAGAAATTCGCCTTGCTACGTCTCATGCTCCACAGATGAGATTCTGTATCACACATGTACTCAACTACCTCCTTTCTAAGCGGGGGTTCAGCCCTACTAAGACGCGCAGCAACAACATTGACGGCTTGGTGTCGCAGTTTTTCCTGTTCTATTAAGTTAAGTGGCCTTTTATAGTGCATTTTTGGTAAGGGAGGCTTGAAATACAATTGCATCAAGTCAACCATTGAGGCACAGGAGAATCTAATGGCCAAGTGCAGTTCACCCATCTTCTTGACACCTGAAGGATGAAGCACTAGTAATGGGTAAGCATTTGTGTAAACACGGCCAGTTTCCAGGGTTGAGATCCGGATCCGAACTTTACCAACTTTTAGATCTATGTTACCATCTGAATTATGAAGCTGTCCATTATCAAACACTCCCACAGTGAGAACTGTAGCTGGATCAAAAACTTCCCAAGTGTATTGCTCATTGTATTTTGGGCTTGGACTATTACTGATGGTTCGAGTGCGAACCCATTTCTGCCCATATTTTGCCACACAGTATGTATCCGTTGCACCCCTTCCATCCCTGGTTTTCATTGGATGAAGTCCATCAACACTTAGAATCCCAAGTTCTAAGATACCAATGGACTTCTTCCAGAGCTGCTTTGATGTGGGTCTAAGATCACTGCTATAATAAGTTGACCCATCAAAAACATGATACCCACCATCAAGACAGACACTGAGGTGAATTCTACTAAAAAATTTATCTTTCTCCTTTTTCCCTTGTTCTGCATCCATAGCAGATGACATGGATTCTTCAAGGTTATACCACCTAGTATGGGTACTTCTATCATCAGCTCGTTTATCAGCGTGGGTTAAAGGAATAACAACAACTCCAATAGTCTCATCCTTGTTGGGACCAACTCTATTTTCAATTGAAACAACCAAAGGTTCTTCAAAGGGCTCGGCAGCAACAAACATCAGCTCCTGATCCCAACGCAGGTTCATGGTCCTTGATTGAACTGGCCTTGTCTTCAAAATCTGGTTACCAATCTGTAACTTAACATAGGCATCTTGGATTCGGGACTTCTCTGATACAACTAAGTCCTGTGCCTCAAACACTTTAACCCGTACATACCATAACCTTGGTGAATGGTAAACTTTTGATCGAATCTGATTATATGCAGATGAAGAGCTGTCATTGGGAGACAGTGCATCAGAATGCCAAGCATCAGGAAAAGCTTCATCAGCTTGTGTTCCAAACCATACAGCAAGCATCAACTCCCCTTTTTTCTTGTCCTTACCCTTGTCAATCCGATACCATTCAGGAGCCAAGGGACTGTTCGGTGGAACCCGTGTAGGAACATCATGGAGATCAAACCTCACAATGCCAACTACTTCATCTAATAACATATTCTTGTCTTTGACCATAACTTCAAGCGTAGTTGCCTGCTGATTTTCCCTTGCAAAGGCAAACACCTGATTCCATTCAGGATCTTGAGTTTTCTCATGGTGTTTAGTAGTTCCCTTGAAGTTTCCAACCTTTACCTCCACATATGGATCGAGGCCACCAGTCACACCCTTTGATGGAAGGTCACGAGCTCGTACAACTCGTACAAAGAGGTACTGCATTGGTTCAACAAGGTCATAGGTGCTGACTGGCCCGTACCCACGTTTAACTCGCCCTCCAAGTACTTGTCCCCCTCCAAGAAAAGGGCTTGTCTCTTTGAGTGCATAATCCATAGGATATGGTGAATATGCATGCACAACTTTTGGAGGAGGCAGTCCAGATTTAATCTCATGCGTCCCATAGTTTTTACTTGTTTTCGCAGCCGCTGAGGGAGAAGGTTCCTCATGTTTTCGTTGATTTGAATCAGGAAGGTTATGAAATGTGTGCCTTGTCTCATTTTTCTTGCGAGAAAACATATTTAGGATCGAACTTGTGAATGAAACTGGTGACTGATCTTGGGTTGAGTGTTGATCTGTGTCCACAGAGGGTTCTACATCATGGAGAGGGTTTGACGATCTTATTGAAGGATCATCAGTAATATATACCTTTAAACCCAGCTCTCCTTTTACACGGGAAAAAACATTTTTCTTCTCCACAGGGTATTGCAGAAAAACAGCATCAGAATATGGGACAAATGAGGGACCAGTGAGGTGGACCTTACCAAGAAAGACTTTGGAACTACTGCTTTTGCTATAGTGGTAGATACAAGCATCAAGAGTGAGGTTTGGTAATTGGCTTGGATCAGTAACCTTGAAGTAAAATTTCTCATTCCAAACAGGATTCAAATCTTTCTCTCTGGTTGTTGTCCGAAATTTCTGACCATCAAAGTGAAGTTCCACATAAGCACTACATGAGCCCTGCCCGTCTTTGGGCATAAGGTCATGAGCACCCACAACTTCTACACATAATTTGAGATTGCTCATTGCCAATAATTAATTAGCTTCCAGGAAAATTTAGAGAGACGTTACACCTGAATGAAGGAAAGAAATCAGGTTAAGATTAATACAGTATCAGATATAAATTTCAATAGCTTTATATGATCTAAAACTACATTCCAGGCCATGTCCGCTATTAAATTATTAGTGCAACCTTAATCCACAGGCAGTTTAAACTCTTTTTATATTATAGTTATCAATATGCAAGAAAGGAAATCAGTGTACTAATTAAAGATTTCAAAATCCATGATACTGTATGGTTTGCTTCAGATGTATAACTTTTTACCCTGTCAGTGGACAAAAATTAAATTCATATATAGTAAGAGTTTTGCTTATAATTTGTAAACAAAAGAAACATATTAATCCAACAATTTGCTTTTGTTCTTCATCTACTCTCAAAGATGTATTCTAGCAGTACTACAGCTATTCTACAATATGTCTAAGCTTCAAAATATTGTTTTGTTGGCAAACAAATTCTACTAGCAAAGAAAAACAATAAACCAGGTGTAGAGTGTAAACCTAATTAACCATAGCATTACCGCATTGACCAAGCTCAACTTTCTTGAAAAACCTGAGTTACTATCATAATATCCAAAGTAAATAATTGGGAAGTTCCTAGGCGAATAACAGATCCAGTAAAGATATTCTAATTGACTGATTTATTAAAGAAAGGCATGACATGTTCAAATTAATTTTATTTGCTACTATATTTTTCAATAGTAAAAATTGACCAAGGAAGTCAATAAAAGATGAAATATTGCAAACTGCATATTTTTTGTGAGTGGATGTGAGTAAAAGGAAAGCAACAGAAGTTCCAAATTATTATTGCATTGGTTCCTATCATAAATAAGACAAAGTATGGTATGGAATGATTCAGCCAACTGGAGTGAAAAGGAATAAGGGAAAAATCAAAGAGATGGATATCATTTTCAGAAGCATGTAATTCTTAAAGCTCAAGCAAGAAAGAGAAAGATTCCAAAAGTTTCAACCACCACTTCCAGAATTGTACTCCGTGAGCAAAAAGCAAGACAATAATCAAAAGGAGCCTTGAATACTTCATATTCTACATACAGAAAGTGTTTCCAAGATTTGCAAAATAATATAAAATCGTAAAACCGGGGGTAAAAGGCATGGACTCCTTGTACCATTGTACACTATATTACATAAATCTTCAGATACTCTTAAGAAAAGTAAAATTCTACGCCAAAAATAAAATAAAATCCAATCATCCATTTATTTAATTTCATTCAAGCTCCTCTTATTATTATAATATTTTCAGCTGAAACAACTAGCACATGAGCTAATTAATTACCCAATATTTTAGCAAAAATAAGGGTAATAAAAAAAGAAAGAAAAATGGAACCTTTGACGCACATGAGATAAGCAACGTCTCTGAAGAACCTCACCCAAATTTTATATCAATTTTTCCCAGAAAGAAAAAAAAAAACCTCTGCCACCCCTATGGCTTTATTCCAATCCCAACACCAGATTTGAACAAAAAAAAAAAAAAACTTTAACCTTTTAAGACTACAACAATGATCAACCTTAAAAAAAACCCAGAAAAAACAAAAATCCCTCTTGCCCAAAATCCAACTGCAAATCATACAAATTCCACTTATACCAATAAAGAAAAACTTTAAAATATAAAAAAAAATAAACCCAGAAGAAAAAAAGAAGTGGATGATGAAACACACCTGAGATTTTCTGATTTTGAGCTTTGAGGATCAAGAGTTCGCTTGAAGAGCTGAGGATTAAGAAGGAACAATTGAGCTGAGCAACACAAAAGTTATGTCAGAAAAAGAGAGAGAAGAGGAAGGAGAAACGGGGTTTCTGAGAAGTTATGAAAGAGAGAGAGAGACATTACATTGACGTAGAATGTCGGTTTCGGATTGTTCAGTAGTTGCAGCAGTGCTGTGTTGTGATGTCTAAGAACTCACAACACGTTTTGTTACAGTGTTGGGTGAGCTGAGTTCGCCAATGGCCCCACACTCCACTCACTAGTCAATACAAATCTCTCTCTCTCTCTCTCACCCCAGTTTTAGTGTCCATCTTTTACTTGTCTTCTTATTGCAAAATATAGATTCTTGTAATATTCTTTTCTATATACAATTTTTTTCTATAAATTTACTAACCTTAAAGGGGTGATTTGGAGCATAATATGCTATTCAAATATTCATTTGTTATAATTAAAATAATCAGATGCCACCTCAGATATTTAATTAATGGTCCATAATAATAATTTGTCAGGTTGTCTAGCCCAGCTCAGATAAACCATAATTTTTTAATTAAAATTTCATATTTCAAATATTTGTATTTTAAACTCCATCATTTTAAGGTAACTCTAAAATATCAGATGGTAATAAAATACTTTTAATATATTTTCAATTATTAATAATTTATTAAATAATTTTTATTATATATGTCTAAGTATACATGATAAAAAATTAATGTACATTAAAAATTATAATATTTAATTTTATTAATACATTAAATTTAATAATATTATGTAATTTTTAATAAAAAATTATTATTTATAATTTTTTATTGTGTACATGTAAAAAAATATTTATTATAAAAAATGTTGACACAAGTCTTTAAAATTGAAGATAAATAATTAAAAATAATAAATTTTTATTATGAAAGAAAGTATTATAATTGAGAATATAAAAGTATAATAAATATTATATTTATTAATAAAAAATAATATTTAAAAATTATAAATTTAATGAAAAATAATATTAATAAAATAATATTAAAAATACTTAAGTTTCGCTTTTAATTTAATAATTTTTAAATAAATTTTAATTAATAATAAAAAATATATTTAAAAAATGTATTAAATGTTTTTGACACTGCTCTGATTCTCTTCAAGCATGCAATCCCTTATCTTCTAAACCATTATATATTATTGTTCAGACAAGTAATCATATAGACCGACGTCAAATAGATAGTCATTCATTAATTATATCAAATTGATTAGATTAACCATTTATAATTAATTGTGGTTTTAAATTGTGATTATATAATTAGTTTTATCTCATTGATTATTAAAAAAATTGATATTTACTAATTAAATATGTTTAAACCGTCCTTCTACTAAATTGACCACAGCTCACGGTATAAAATAACTTGTTCAAAATGATCACAATGGTGTTATTTTTTTATTTTAATTTTGTTCAATGTATATTTTATACCGTGGGAAATTTTAATATTTCTTTATTATGTATGAAAATTTGTAGTATTAATTAATTTATTTAAAAAATTGTTTTTTTTTAAATTAAAAGGATGTCTTAATTCAATTTAAGAATTATAATATTTTAGTAATAAATATATAAATTCAAAAATGTATTTTTATATGAATAAATACAAGTAAAAGATATAATTGTTGATATATAATAGACATAAATTTAATATGTCTATTTATGAAATAAAAATTAAATTAAAAACAACTATTTATATAAGAAATGAGAAAATAAGTGACTTTTTACTCAATAGACACCCCTTAAAATGATATATATAAATTTTCATTAAATAACATTAATTATATTAATATGACTTTTTATGAATAGATATAAAGAGTTTATGAATAAAAGTATTTTACAATTACTTCTTAATTTTTAATTTATTATCTCAATTTATTCACAAATTTACTATTTTTTAATCATTGATACACAAAAAATTAAAAAATATCATTACATTTACACTATTATTATCACGGAAAGAGATAGAAGAAGATAAATGTCATTATCAAAATTTGAACTTAAAAAGTATAAACCATAATCAAGACTTATAATAAAAATTGTCATTGACTCAAATTAAATATTTCTTTATGAATTATAAATGAATTGCGCAATTTTTTTTTTTAATTTTAAGAAATATAGTTGATCTAGGATTAACATAATTAATCACGGTTAAATAACTAAAATTATCATCAGAGTCAAAGAATTGAGCAGATGTATTAAAAAGGCTGCATAAAATTCCACCAAAACAAGAAATAATATAAAGAAATATTTAAACCAAAAAAACAACAAAATATATCATAATATTTGAATATGTGCCCTTTATTTTCATGAAGTAACTTTATTAAGTAAGTTATCTCAAGGGACACTGTGAAATATCTTTAAAAACAATAATTTTTTTTCTATTTTTGTATATATAAATATATTATCCATCTACACAGATTCTCTTGAAAAGTCATCCAAGAACTCATAAGATAATTTTATGAATTATTGTACCATGCAAAATTATCACATTTTGCTTTACGCAAATATATTCCTAAAAAATATGTATATATAGTTTTATTATGTGGTCATCATCGTTCACATTTGATCAAATTTGCATACATAATGTTGTGGTCCATTTGCCAAAACAACAACATATCAAAGTATAAAGGAATCAATGCTATTTTTATCATTATTTTCTCAAATTATTTAAAAAGATCTTCCTTACAACCTCCTTTCGATTGAAAAGACTTTAATATTTTCTGTCCCTTCTTGCTTGATTTCATTTACAGGAGAATCATCTTTCAGAATCATAGTACCACATTAAAATTATAATTTCCTTACCTTCTACTTATAGAAATTCATACAGATCAAAGTATAAATAAACTTGTTCATATGAACTTTCATTGTGAATTGAATAGATCAAATTTAGATATAATGTTCACCTTGATTATGTTGGTCGAAAATGTAATTTTAACAAGAGAAAAATATATAAAATATTTAAAACACTTGTGTAAAGTAATGGAACTAAAGCTCCATTAGTGGATCATGAAGCTTTATATCTTACTAGGAATTAGATGCTTCTAGGGGAAAGTAGATTTCATAGAAATGAAAGTAGAAAATTTTCATTGTGAATTGAATTAGATGAGTTGATACAACAGCACATCATGTTTATTAGGTGGTTACCTAATAACTTCCTAGCAATAACATTTTTTAAAAAGTTAATACAATCATTTAATTACAGTAAAATTCAACTAGTTCTATGACTTTCTTTGCTTCCACATTAAAGAAAGAACATAAATTTCATACTAAGTGGATAATGTATGCATGAATAAACAAACATTAGTAATATAATTTTTTAACATACTTTCTCTAACATATAGTTTATTGTTAGCTTAAATTTATTAAAAATTATAAAAACTATGTAAGTTTTACTTTTAAATTAATGTTTCTTTTTTATTTTTTTATTTTTAATAATGTTAATAATTAATAAAAAAAAGTATATTAAATAATATGTTACTAACATTCTCGTATCAGAAATAACTTTGGTGGAGGAATGGTTATGTCAGATAACATTTGTTAAGCCCATTAACTACAGTACACTGGAGTTGTGGTTCCTGTTGTTGGCCCCAATCCCCCTCTACTCAAATATGATTCAATCACAATTGTAGGGTCAATCAAAAAGAAAAATCATAATTGTGAGGTGTTGACAAAAAATATATATATCATTATTTTAAAGACGAAACTTCAGTGGAATATTAAAAGTTTTTTAATATTATTTTTTAATTAAAATATAGTTTTATTTTAATATTTATACAATGAAAATTAACATTCTAAATTATTTTGTATTATTGAGATAAAATTATAATCTTTATTAAAAAAAAATATAAAAATGTGTATGATACATTATTTAAAATTTATTTTTATTATACAATTAAAAAAAACTATATTTTCAAAATACATGAAAAACACCCATATTCGAGCTGAAAAGGAAGCGCACATCCCTAAACACCATACAAAATATATCAACTTGATGATTCAAACTAAACTGTTTTTAACTGAGTTGATTTGGTTCAAGTTTATTTAATATTTTAAAACTTAAACCCAATTAAATCGATTAATTTCTTTTTCTGTAAAAAAAAATTGAACTAAACTAACCCATATGCATATCTGAATTAAGATTAATTAAATTTTGGATGATGTTAATTGTCCAATTGTAGGGTCATACTTTTTTGTGTCCTTAATCACAACTAGACAAGGCAATTGCCAATACTAGGTATATAGACATACCCTACGTGATTTTATAAACTTGTAAAAAATGGATACTGTAGAATTATTGGGCCTTGAATTGGTACTTAGTCAAGTTAGGATGCATTAGCTCCACAAAATCTATAAAAGCATTGCTCTTTATTGTGCAATAATCCAAATTTACAAGATGTAACTAAAATCTCTTTACTAACAAAAAAAATTCTACTCTTCCGATTAAGAATTTCAATTACATTTTGATAAGCTGAATTTGTTGCTTTAGGACTAATTGAGAGTGTGGCATGCATGAAGAATATTGCATGTGTGTGAACTATTCCTCTACATATATAGACTACGACACTAGCCTTTATTCACTGCTCTTTTCTTTACTTGTTCAATTAGATTTTCCTTTTCCTTAAGAAACTCTTTGAGAGATTGAGTTGTATAAGGAGGAGGCATGGCACATGGAGGTGTATCACTTGGTGAATTCACCATAGACTCAACCATAAAATGCTTCCTTACACCACGCAAGGAACATGCCATACTTTCAGAACAAATCTCAATAGCTCCTTTTGGTATGGTTGGTTTGAATTTCAAGAGCTTTGCATACCCATTTAATAGATGAAACATATAATCATATACAAGCTTCATCTTTAAGTTCTCTACTATGTAATTTGTTCCTCCATTGCCAATCGCCTGTGCCTGCAATTAAAATTGATATATTTTAAAAAAATGAATTAGACATGTTTTTTATAGAGATAAGCAAAATATTAAAATTTCATGTATAAGTATCTAAGCCATATTAAAAAAAAAGAAGTTTCTTAGGTTAAGCTCAAATTTAGGTGCATCCTATGCATCAAGTCCAATGAAATTCAGATGCCATGAGCATATGCAGCTAGAAACAGAGTGCAGGTTTCATGCTGCAACTAGCATGCTTTTAATTGAACAAAAGTTTGTTTTAAAGCATAACAATCATGTAGGGGCAAATAAAGGAAGATTTACATTGTCAAGGTGAGCATTTCCCCAGTCCACTGCATACTTAATCTCTTCACACATATTTTTGGGGCTGATAGGCCAGTAGTGCTTCAAAGGTAACATGTTTCTTGTGAAGAAATCATAATACCTAGGCTCTATGAACATAGTCATTGAATCACATGCTATTATGTACTTTTCACTAACAGACCATGTAGCTCCTTCTGCATAGATCTTATATCTTAATACAAAATGCAACACAGTCAAATTTCAAAATTCAGTAAATATATGTAACAGATTCTAAATTCAAATTAACCCCTATCATAATAATTATAAAAATGTTTCAAAATCATACAAAGTGGTTGAAGACATTTTACCTATAGGTACATTGATTTTCTAGTTTTGTGTTCTCAAAATTACTTGCTTTCTCCTGCAGCCATTGCTGAAAAGGAAAAAAAAAAAGTTAATTTCATCTTGAAATAATTAATGCAAGTTCACTTGAAACAAAAGCCACGGTTAAAACTATATGCTTACTATGCCATATATTCTGGCATTCCAATCTTGTTTGTCTGTGGCATTGCACTTGCCAAGTTCTTTCCTAATATTAGACACTGCTGGGTTGCCTTTCCAAAATGCATAGGGTATCCTATCCTTCCATTGGATCATCTTGTTGCCTTCTTGGATATTATATAATGTTGCTTCCCATGGTCTTATGTTGAGCTCAGCCCTAGTAAGGAAAAGAACATATTTAATATATAACTTTTTTAATTAATAATTAAAATTGCATTTCAAACACCCATCTTCCTCCTATATATCATTGCTTTTAACATGCTCATAAAAAACCTACAACAAAATCATTTGAGAGATATTGGTAATGTTGTATTTAATTCCTAGGGGAAAAGAAACTTTACCAACCCCAGAAGGTCCAATCAGGGAACACAATGTCATAAGAATTTTCATCTCCACAGTAATGGAACACAGGGGGAGGTGACATGGCAGGTGGTCCTTGGAAAATTCCTTTGTTCACCACAGTCTTGTCCCCACATTGAAACATTAGCTCCAAATCTGGTATCTTTCCTGGGTACAATCTTAGAAGTTGTAAAATTCCCCATATTGTGAACACATCCCTTGTCTGAAATGATTTGGAATATTTTTCTACATAAGCTTTTCCATTTACAATTACAAGCCTAAAATGTGAAATGTTCTTCCCTCTTTCCACAATATCCCTTGTAATTCCAGATCTCTCCCATGGTTTAAGATCTTCATGGATCCATCTGAAATACTCTGGACATGATGCAGTTGATGATTCATCATCAAGCTCAAATTTTGTTGGGTAGTATGATGGGCATGTTGCTGCTGATTTCCCATCAGTGCAATTAAGTGGGAATTGTAGTTGTTGCTTGTTGAAGATTATAATTGTCTTCAGTAGAGTATTGCTTGTAAATTTAGACTGAAAGACAGAAAGTAACAAATATGCTCTTGTTATACAGATAGCATTCTTTTTTTCTTTTGTAAATTTTGTACAATTTATGGAAGATTATAATATATTAACACTTTGTTTTGTTATCATATACTATAAAATTGCAAGAGATTAAAAATTTACAACTTTATACACTCAAATGCATATATAATGGTAACAACAAATAAAAAAGAATGTTTAGATACACATCACCATTACATACTTCATATTTTTATAATATTTTATTTTTCATTAGATCACCAATTTTATCCTGTATTTTTCTTTTTTCTACTTTTTATCTCTCTTTTTATCATTAAAGCTATTCGAGAATGGATTTCTTATAATATTAAGCATATGGAGGGGGTGTGGGGCAGGGAATGGACACACACCTATTATAATGTAACGTGCAATTAAAAGAAATGGACTTTGTGAAAGAGACCATGTATATTATAACGATAATAATAATTATTATTATTATAATGATATTATTTTATTTGACCATGTAATCTCCTCTCCCACAATAAATATATTATCATCATACTAATCATGTACAAAGAAAGCATTTGCTAGATGTGTTCTCTTCTTCATAAATTTAAAACTCTTTAAAACCTTTATTTTAACTCTTTAAAAATTTAATTTTAGTTCTTACTTCTTTTAAATTTAATATTTTATTTATCTATGGTAATATCGTAACTAACTAAAAGTTTATATATATATAAGACCAAAAATATTAAAATTTTAAAAAATTAAAATCTTACAAAAATATAAAAACTAAAAAAAAATATTTAAATCATAGATAAAATAACGAATTAAAACAGACATAATAGAGAATTTAATTTTATTCTATCCACACCCAAAACACTACCTACTTATTGTTATACTATACATTCCTTGCAAATTAGAATCGCTCGACCTTTTCTTTCTTACTTTCTCTTTCATTTTTCTCATTAGCTCGGAAAAGTCTTTATGATAAACTGACCTTTGATTCCACGAGGATGAGCTTTACTCTTACGATAAATTTCTAACTCAAACTTTCTTATAAGATAATTATATATATATATATATATATATATATATATATATATATATATATATAAGAAAGTATAATAGAATAAGCTTATGATCATATTGATTAAATAAATATTAAAAATACATTATTTTATATATTCCACAAAAACATATATGGGTATTATGAACACAATCAGTCTCAAAGAAAAAAGGAGAAGCAACTCTGAGTAGAAAATAAAACTCAAGGCTTGTTTGGAGGGGACTAAGTAGAAACCAAGCAAGAGAGAAAGAGATGAAGAAAGATATGAAGGAGATATATATATATATATATATTGAAAAACAGATATTGGAGAAGGTATAGGTATAAATGTATATACATGTTATGAATATGGGAGACTTACAAGGTCAATTTCCAGGAAGAAAGTGCTTGAAACAAAAAGAACCAAGGTGATGATGGAGCAGAAAATCCAACTCGTCATTATGCTAAGCAATTCATAGCCACCATGAATCAAATTAATGCGAGACGATAGCCTTGGAATTCTACAAGTTATTGGTGTTGACTATTAATATCTATGTGCACCTTTCTGAGGTAATGGTGCATGCGTCAATTTCATGATGCAACTACTGCTCTATTTGTTTATTGGCGTTTTCCCCATTAAATGCTAATTTTAATTAAGACTAAATATAGTATATAACATATAATTTTTATTATATTAACAGTCCAAATTAAGTTTGATAATTCTACTTTTACACTTAACCCCAAAGAATGTTAATGAATTATTTGTCCCTGAGAAAAAGTCATCGTGGAAAATTTAAATAAACGAGTCTATTGTCACATCTTTTTAAATATTTTTTACATAAAATACTTTTTTAATTAATTAAATTAATAATAAAAAATTTAAATAAGATATGATAATAAATATTTTAGAGTGATAATAAACACTTTTGCACTGTAACCATTACCACTTTCATGAATTTAAAACACGCAGTTAATTAGAATGAATCATATGCACACACACACCCCAACGAAGTAGTCAATGGAATTTTTTCTTTAATCCAAAAGCAATTTCGTGTTCGACTTCACTCTCTCTTTTTTTTATCCTTAGTCAGTATCTTTTGAAATTAAATCTATTTTTAAAGCTATCAGAGTTGAGACAAACACACACATCGATATTCATTAATAGTTTTCGACTACTTCAACTTTGACTGAGCTTTGAATCATGAAATAAAAGTTAAAATTTAGTTAAAATTCACATTTTATACTTAAATGAAATAGATTTGACTAATCAATTTGAATTTAACGAATTAATTTAGACTTCAAATTTAAATTTTGGTTCTCATGAAAGTAAGTTTAATTCTCCCCTCACCCCTCTCTTATCTTTAAAATCTTTACAAAAATCAAAAGCAAAAACATAATTTCCCGATTAAAATGATTTCTTTGGTTCTCATACACGATCGCGAACCAAAACATGCACAGGTACTAATCAGAAAAAAACAAGAAATTAAGCAAAGCATCAAAGGCTAAAACAATGGATAACTTGAGCAAAGGCTTAGAAAAAAAATGATTCATAAAAGTTATAACCCAAAGAAAATATTTAAGTCTTATAAAAAAGTTACAATAATATTTGTAATCAATGTAAGAAATGAAGTTAATTAAAATGATAGGAAGAGAGAAAGATGGCTTACGAGGTCAACCCAATAGACGATGAAATTGCTTGCTGCAACCAAAAAGAGGATGGTGAGGGAGAAGAAGGCATAGGTTGAAAGCCATGATCTTTTAGCTTTGGTGTGTGATTGGTGACGAAAATCTTGATTGTTGGCCATCTTTGTGATGATTACATATTGGTATGATTAAATATATACCCACCTCAAATATTGGATCTTAATCAAATTCATATTCATATTTATTTTATCAAGAAGGTTCAACCCTTGCTTACCAATGCCATCTACAATATGGAATAGTTTTTAAAAATTGGAAGCATACGTCATGTAAAATAGTTTAAGCATTTATTATAGTGAATGGTGTAATTACATGTACATAGCTGAAAGTGAATTAGTAATATTTTGTTTTGTCAAAATAACGAGGTATTATCTTGTTGGGAAAGTACAATAAAAACACTATGTTGACCATGTAGATTGCATTTACTATCCTTAGATATGATATCAAATGAAAAATGAAAAAATAAATAAATTTAAAGTATTTTTACTTACAATTTATAGAATGACAAAATTGTAAACTCTTACTTTTTACAATTTTTAGACAAATAATATAAACATACAACTATCAAAGCTTTCGGTACTGAAAGAGTACTATAGTGAATAAATATTAAAAAACTTTTCATTTATAATATTTTTTTACTAATTCATTATTCAAATTTATCAAAGTGAGACTTAAACGAATGATTTACGTTAACTCAGCAACTACATCACCAAATTCAATTGAGATAAATCAAATGTTTAAATTATAGAATTTAAATATAAATTGTACTAAACTTAACACACACTATAGAAAATGATAAATTATATATATATATAAAGAGTTATATTTTTTTTTATTAAACATCAACTTTTAAATAAAGATAAAATCAAAGTAAAGAGTTACTCTAACCCTAACAGTATATATTTTATAAAATTAAAATATTAAAAAATAAGGTTGACTTGTACATTTAAAAGATAGCTTCATTTCGAAGGAATTCTTTCTCTTATTTATAGCTACTTGGTTTCATATTATTTTTTATACATAGTATTTTTGACATATTCTCTCTTTTTTACATATATAGTTTGTATAATATATAAAATTGAATTGTTAACTATTTTTTGGTGTTCTGTCAGTGGTAGCGCTTTCTTATAATCCAAGAAACCGTGGGCCGGATCCGTCTTAGTGCAATGAAACAGGGTATGGTTAAGACTTTGTTTATTTTTTATTTCACAGTGGGCATTAGCCGAAATCAAAAGCCCAATAGTCCAAATTAATCATTGTTTGACTAATCACATCATATTAGTCTTTAACATCTTTTTAAGAAAGCTATTTAATAAGCCATATTTATTTTTGGTAAAATTTTAAATAAGTATTTATAAGAGAAGAAGTAAAAAAGACTGAATAAATACTTTTTTATAAATTAAAATCAACTTATATACATTAAATTTTAAAAAATAAAAAAATAATACTTAAAAAATTATAATTTAAATTTAACTCGTAAAAAATTTAAATCATATTATTCCTCAAGGTATATATAATATTTTGATTTTTTTAATCATTATTTTTACAAATAGAATTTAAGAAATGAATAAATAAAAACATTTTTAAAAAATTATAGTAAAATTATATTAGAATATTCAATTTAACTTTTCAATAATTATTTTCTATATCTATTTCATCACAATTGTTTCGTAAATGAAATTAATATTTTACATGTTAAGAATTTGACTTAGCGTTGGGTTGTTGGTTATAATTTGTTATCATACTACCTCTTTTTCTTTTTATTTTGTCCAATTTGGAGGATAATATATAGATTGAAAAACATAATTAATACTTTTCATTTTTATTATTTCTTCCTTATCTATTACAGGTCCATAAAATATTTGAAAATGTAATAAAAATAGAAAGATGGTTAAAAATAATAATTTATATAAACTTAAGATTTTAAAATATTATATAAATAGGAACATTTTTTAACTAAATAAACACACAGTGAACAAAAGATGGTTATTTAGAATAAATTTGAAAATATTCCCTCAATTCCTTTTTAATATCACTTTTGAAATTAATGTTTTTCCTATAATTTTTTTATTTGTTATTTTTATCGTTAAATTGTTATTATCTTTCTTGTTACACCCTTGTGTTGGAAGAATGGTAATGCTGTTTTTTTTTTCCAATTAATAAAAGAGATGATATTATGAAGAGAAAAAATAATCACCTTCCTAATAGGAAATGGTAAAGTAGATTCTTTGTTTTATTTTTTATATTATTTTTTAATATATATATATATATAAATATTTATAATTAAAATAATAATAAAATAATAAATTCTCCATTTACTTTTGTTATGAATAATTAGTTAATTTATTAAAGTTAATAATATATGTTAGATATTTATTTTTATTCTAAAATATTTATAATATTAAACGGTTGAAATACTTGAGAGCAAGTAAATATCTTACTAATATAAATATCACAATGAAATAAAAATATAAAAATTATAAATTAATACATTTACAAAACAAGTATAATATTTTTATAACAATTACTAAGAAAATAATTTTTACTATTATTTAGAAAAAAATTAATCATTTTGTTATACTAAATTTAAGTAAATTTTAAAATTGTAAATTAAAAATATATATTTAAATTTTATGATGCACATGCATGATTAAATTACATATATAATATAAAAAATCAAAATGACACTTGGGGAATTTTAAATATTTTGTGAGTAATTTATCCCTTTCATAAATTATTTTAATTCATTTCAATTTTTTTGGTATAACATATGAAACATTAATTTTAATTTATTTTAGTAATTTTCAAATAATAAGTTCATTAAATAAATATTAATAAAATTAACTTCCTAAAATCACTTTTAATTAATAAAAAAGTAATTATATATATATATATATGTATATATAATATATTAAAATGATAATTTATAAAAGAATTGAAAAAAAATGTTTTTGAGCTTTGTAAGCTCTGTTGAATAGTAAAAAAAAGAATTAAGAAAAATTAAATTACTTTCAAGAAAATATATTTTAATTTAATACTGAAAGCAGAATATCATAAATTAAGAAAGAAAGAAAAACGTTTCAACATAAAAAATATAAAGAATTAACTTACGAACATAAAAAATTAAAATTTAAACAAAGACAGTAAAAAGATAAATAAAAGTAACTTTTGTGGGCATAAATAATTAAAATTCAGGGAAAAAAACAATTCACAATTTTTAAAAAAAATTCAGCATATTATAATTTTTAAAAATAAAATACGCTAAATAACAACAGAAATACGAATCTTAAAATAGTTATAGAAAAACTTTCTCTTAGATATAAAAACTTCATTCTATGAAGGTAGAATTTATAAGATTATACGATTTTATTAAATATTTATATATAAAAAATTTGATTAAAAAAATTATAAAACTTACATTAAATTTATAAATTTTAGTAAAATTTATTTTATATATATATATATATATATATATATATTATCACATATAATATTATAAAAGTAACAAAAGTATTTTAAAGAAAAACAAAAAGTGAAGGGCAATAGTTGTAAAAGATGTACACTTGAGGGGTTAAAATGCGATTACCCATAAAATGTTTTGATTATACCCAAAAGCTCTGCACCCCTTTCACTCACACAAACACGACGAAGATGGCTAGCGGGAGTTTGAAGAAGATGGTAAGTGCTGCAATCAATCAAGGAGTGGTAGAAGCACGAGCCATGATCTTCGGCCATCAATTGAACCCCACTGGTAAGAAATCCCCTCACAAGCTTCTTCGCATGAAGCTCTTCGGTGACAAAGTGGCTGAGTGGTACCCTCATGACATCAACAAAGATGACCCTCTTGTTATGGCGCGTCAAGAACAAGAGTACGCTTTCTCACTCTCTATAATCCACTTGCACGCGCCCACACGCGAATGCCCACTACCTGTTTGTGTTTATGTGTCTGTGACGCTGTTCTTTTGTTTTTTGTTTTTGTTGAGTTTTCTTTGCTTTTTAGCCCTTGCAAATTGATGGGATTCATTAGTGTGATTAGTGAATCGAATGGTACCATAAAGTTCCTTTTTTCCAGAGAGGTGTGAAATGGGGCATTATAATGATGGTGATTTAGTGCTTCGTTTAGTTAAGATAATTTGTATTAACGTGAAATTCCGAAAAATTTTGTGTTTTTTTGGTTTTTTGTTGAGAAAAAGCCTATGGTATGTTTGCCAGGAAGCATTTAGTTTTTGCGGTTTTGTTTGCATACTTAGTACCCGTTTTATTTAAAGTTGAGTAAAATTAATTTAGTGTTTTGAGATGTATGCATAAACTAATCAGAACCACATATTATTATTGGAATGTGTAAAAATGATTCTTTAACTATAAAACAAAGAAGCCCTTTGCTTTCGTGCCAATGAAGAATTAAACATACTGCCAGTCGTGGTAAGTGAGCTCTATTAGTTTGGGGATTGAATGCTGTTCTGTGGACAGCAATAGCTATGTTGGTTGTTCTACATTTGATATGAACTCCTCAATGTGTTGACACATTAACATGTTACTTCTGTGAACACGTGGATATTTATTAGTTTGTTGTTGTCTTGGTGGGATTCTTTTACCCAGAGGCTAAGTTTGATCTTTGGAATGTTTGTCACATTTTCCAAATATGTCTAGTATTCATGTCCACTGTATATGCCTTTGATGTTAGTTTATGGCTTTCAAAATAAAATGATAGAAAAATCAGGTTTGATGCATAACCTTTCTTTACAAGTTCGAAATAATCTTCTATTGAAGATGGTGGCCGATGAATATTTCTGTTAGTTTTAATCACTAGTGTACTCCTTATGTTAATAAATCAGGTGGAGTATGTTTCTGATTTTCATAGTGAATTTGGTCTATTCTCTTGCATCAAATGCATTCTAGTAATGCAAATTTATATTTGTGGGGAAATTTTCTCTTTAAATCACATTCAGAATACGTGGTAGCTTTTATCATTTATCTAACATTAGTTTCCACTGATTCAATAACATTTATCATCTATTCTTGTTCTCTATAGACGCCTATCGAAGCTTGAAATGTTGAAGCGGCGAGGAAAAGGACCACCCAAGAAGGGCCAAGGAAGGCGTGCTGCCAAACGCAACAAATAAGTAATACTTTCTTATGTTTAGAGAGTTAAAGACAAGTGGTTGTTTATGTGATAACACTTTGAATTTGACTTTTTGTTATCAAAATGATATAATTAATCTTGCCTTTTTATTTTCCTGATACTAAACTTCATGAACTTTATGTGATAACACCTTTTTGTTATTTTCTTTAATCTTATTTTAATATTTTTTTTTATAATATATCAAAATAAACTATTTTTAATGTATTCTAATAAGTTATAGTTAAATTTATGATATAAGTCTTTATGTAAAAGAAATTTATTAAATAAATGTTTATTTAAGTTATGTAACTAAATGCATGTTTAGTTCAATTGCAACATCAAGAAAATCTTCCCAAGTGGATGCAATAAATAACCCAACACTCGAACAATAGTCACATGACTTGTATACACAACATATTTGCATGCTCATTTTAATACATAACACATAACTATAGATAAGAAAATAATACAGAAATTGGCAAAAGTTGAAAGAAAAAAAAACTTTAGTCCTGCATATAATGGAGCAATTTGTAATGATCAAAGAGAAAAAACAAGCAAGAAGATTAAGTGACATGAACGAATCTTAAACTTGATAAAGGACTCATGGCAAAATCAAACAAGAAGAAAAGAAAGTGCTAGAGCTTTCTAAGATAGAACTTAACAAAGGTGACTCAAGTAAAAACAAATCCATCTTGAACTTGGCACCTCTTTAAGAGGAAGACAAGATCTTCATTAGAAAGATTCCTTTAAGAAATACTATGTTTATGAGGCACTAAATAGCAAAAGGTTAAATGAACCTAATATAAAAGTCATTTTGCTTTGCAGTTAATGGACAACATTAAACAGATTTAAAGCGTAGAATTATGTCACATATTTATCTCTATCGACCTATAAGGTTATACCAAATTGATGAGTATTTTAACTTCTGCACATGATACCAAATGTTGCCTCTTGATTTATACAAAAAGTTAGACTTCAGTAGAAATATAAAGATTTTTATTATGTGCATCATTTTTTGTTATTATGTTTTGTCCCATCCCACAATAAGTTTCGTTATTAAGTTTTGTCCTACGATTAATTTTTAATAAATTTTAATTAGGAATTAAAATTGTATTATATTTTTAGTATTTTTCTTTGTTTTATTTTCTATGCGCATGTGTGTGGACTTGATAAAACAAAAAATGTGAAAAAAATATATTAAGAGAGCATGCTAAAACAAAATTGTGCCCCTAATGTCTTGCCAAATCAAATCTAGTTAAAAGGGGAAAAAAAAAAACTCTTCACAAAGCAAAGGTGGGTCAAGGACAATTTGTGAAGACAAGAGACAAGTGCGACCTTTCTGCCCAGGAAAATGACATTCTTCAAAGGAGTACGAAAAAGGTTAAGACCAGGAACCCAAGAGACTCTGATGACGTTAATGTTAACATCAATTCTGATGCTGCCACGGAAGATAATGCTACCCTAAAGCTCTCATATAGGGACTCACTTCTGAACAACACCGAGGGTGAGTCTACGGAGGATTGGTATGACATGTCAGAGGAGGCTAAGAATCACTAGTACAATGATCAGTCTGGAGATGACGAAAAAGATGACAATTTTGACCCTTGCCTGGAGGTGAAAGTAACACCAGAAGAATTTGAGGAATGGTGCCGGCCTTGGAGAGGGTGCATCTATTGGGAAAATGAGTTTCCTTGAGATTCATGGAGATCAAGCTCAGACAAAGTTGTTGATCTACCACAAGATTATTTCCTAGTCCAATTTGCTTCACAAGAGGACTACAAGCTCGTGCTATATGAGGGGCCCTGGATAATCGCGGACCATTATTTGGTGGTGCAATGTTGGCGGCCTTTTTTCATTGAAAATGCAAAGCAGGTGAGGAAAGTGGCGGTTTGGGTGCGACTTCTTGATTTCACGTGGGAACTTTGTAATAATAATTTCCTATGGAGAGGTGGATCATGCCTTGGTACTATGTTAAAGATAGATATGGTAACCTCTATTCATAGCAGGGAAAATTTGCTCAACTATGTGTTGAAATAAATCTCAAGAAGCGTTTGGTGTCAAGAATTCATTACATGGGGAGGGAGATAACTGTCGAATACGAAGGATTACACCAGATTTGTTTTGCTTGTAGAAGATATGGGCATAGAGCACCTCACTGTCCCGAAAAGCTTGATGAGGAAATCATTGATCAGGCTGTGGAGACCTCGCACATACCGACTGTTCCTCTGGTGACGGCTTATGTTCCAGGTGTGCTTGACGGTGATAGGGTTGACGTGGCTGATTTAGTTGTTAACCATGATCTAGTGCCTGAAAAATCGCAGCAATTAATTCTCCATGCAAATATAGCAGGTAACGATCTTGCCGTTACTAACAATGAGAAAAATAACGTTGCTGCGACAAATAAGGAAAATGATGTAGTTGGGCTAAATAAGGAAACAGAATCTTTATTTGCCCCTTGGATGATTGTAAGAAAATCTAAGAAGAATCGCATGCACAAAAAAATGTTGATTGTCACCACGAAATCTACTCCACTCGGTGTTGATTATCATAATGATCCCATGATTTCATCATTTGTTTCTAACGTGAATCAAAATGCTAATAAAGTGGGCCTTTCATGAGTTATTGCTTCTGTCAACAAGCATAATTCACTTGTGCAGCCGTCGGTTTCACGGGTTCGTAATCAACTGGGAGGCAAAAATCCTCAACATGGAAGACAGAAAACCTCTAAAGGAATTATCAAGCAAATGAAAAACAAAACTCTTGCGATCTCAAACCAGGTGGTTGAACCCAAACCACCTCTTGAAGGACCAAAATTGGCCACTATGGATAAAGAATTGATGAGGCAGAAGGGGCACGAGATGCTTCATAGAATGCATATTATGCACAAACAAAATCCAGACATATTGGGTTTAATAGTTACTAATTATGACAATGACAATATTGTTTTGATAAATCAACTTGCTTATAAGGTGCATTTGAATAATAGCAAGGCTCTACCTAAGGATAACACGAGTATGGAAGTGGACTTGGTTTCCAATGAGAATGAGGAAGTTGCCAAGGTGACGAATGACATTCCTTCCTATCAATGAATATTATTTCTTGGAATTGTCCAGGGACTTGTGATAATGGGTTTCTTCGTTTGATTTCGGAAGTTAGAAGGATGTATGACTCAAATTCGTGATTTTGATGGAAACTCATGCTAGTGGTAATAAAGCTTTAGGGATTATTAAAAAGCTTAAATTTGATGGTTTGGCAATTTCTTATGCAAATGGTCATTTTGGTGGTATCTAATGCTTATGGGACAAGCTCTTCTGGCAAGTTAATGTGATTAAAATGACATCCCAGTATATCCATATGGTGGTTCATTGGAAAAACTCTACCTCTATGGTAGTCCATTAGCTCACTGTCGCTTTGATCTTTAGCAGGGTCTCTCTAGGATTTCACCTACTATTTTTGGTCCCTGGTGTGTCATTGGTGATTTCAATACCCTTCTACATGATCATGACAAGTCGTCTCCTCTTTCTGACTCTCAACGAGTTAGTAGTGCTCTCTTTTATGATATCATTAGAGATTGCAATTTGCTTGATGCTGATTTTCAAAGCTGCCCGTTTACTTGGTCTCGAGGTCAAACTAAGGAACTCTTTGACCATATGGATATGAACCTTTCTTGGCAGATTTGCTTTCAGGAGGTAGATGTCCTTCACTTACCTTCTTATAAATCAGATCATGCCCCTATTTGCATCCGTTTTCAGCGAACAAAACCTTCAAATAGGCATCATCGTCCGTTTTGCTTCTTAGCTGCTTGGTTGACTCATGAGGAATTTTCTCTTGTTGTCAATAAGTTTTGGATTCCAAATTATGATTGGTGTATTAATGTGAATTCTCTTCAGCAATCCCTTCAAGAGTGGAATGCCTTATCTTTTGGGCATATAATTCATTCTAAGCATATTCTTATGAAGAGATTAGATGATATTGCGAGATATTTATCTAGAGAACATAATCCTTTCTTGGAGGATCTCTGGTTGAAATTGTGGAAGGACCTTGACAAAATCCTTATCTAAGAAGAGCTTTTATGGATGCAAAAGTCGCGGGTGAAATGGTTGAAGTGTGGTTTTAGAAATACTAAGTATTTTCATGGGACCACTATTGTGCAATGACGTCGTAACCACATTGAATCTTTGAAAGATGGTAATGAGGATTGGATCTTCGATCCCTAACTCCTTGAGGGTATGGCTGTTGCTTTTTATAAAAATCTTTACTTGGATGATTCTTGTTTTGTGAACAGATGTCTTCCTAATTGTTTTCCTATTATTGATGCAGAGGATCTTAGTCATTTATCTTGCTTGTTTTTTTATGATGAGATTAAAAATGCCCTCTTTGATATGTGTAGTCTTAAAGCCCCAAGTAAAGGTGGTTTTCAGGCAATCTTTTATCAATCTCAATGGGAGATAGTGGGTCAGTCTCTTTGCTCCTTGATTAAGCATATCTTCCACTCTCCTAGGGACGTGAAAAAAATAAATGAAACTCTTTTGGTCCTTATTCCCAAAGTTGAGGCAGCTACTTCTCTGAAACAATTTCGCCCCATAAGCTTGTGTAATGTGCCCTATAAGGTTCTTACGAAGCTAATTGCGAACATAATCAAGCCACTTATGCAGCGCCTTGTTAGTCCTTACCAGTCAAACTTTGTGCCTAGGAGAAATACCATGGATAACATTATTGTTGTGCAAGAGATTATTCATAATATGAAACAGAAAAGGGGTAAAAGAGGTTATATGGTAGTAAAAATTGACCTTGAAAAGGCCTATGATAGACTTAAATGGCATTTTGTTCAGGATACTCTTCTTGATATTGGTGTCCCCCAATCCTTATGCGAAGTAATATGACACTATATCCCCTAATCAGATAAGGAGATCCTATTTCTCCCTATATTTTTGTTCTTTGCATGGAACGACTCTCTCATCTTATTTTTGCTGCTACTAATGAAGGGAGGTGGAAGTCTTTCATGTTCTCAAAGGATGGGCCTTATATCTCTCATTTATGTTTTGCAGATAA